AGATTACACAATACAATGCATGCGTCTTCATCAGCAATTACTTTTGAACAGTCATATAGAAACAATGACCAATTCGATTTCACTCTCCGAATCAACAATTGCAAAGGCTACTGAAGCAATCCTAAAACAAAACGCAATGTTAACAAGTCACAACTCACACAAAAGTAAACAAATGTAAACCTTACACATACAAAAAACTAACACAAACCTTTGGTTACCCGTCTTTTAGCTGTTGCTGCAAGCAACTGCCTTTTGTATCTCCCCTTTTAGAAATGTTCCATCAAGAAAGAGCAAAGGGCCGACAAATATTTGGAGCCATTTATGCACGAGCAATGCTACAAAAAAAAACCTTTTAAACTGACTGTCTTCAAATCATAGTCAATATTTATATGACTTCCAGGATTATAATGCTGAACAGCATCACCATACCATCTCAGTTGTCAAACAATGTGTAATCTACCATGGAGAGCTGTGCTTCGCTTTCCAATCAACACTACCTTATGTTTACCACCTGTAGCGTGGATAATCAAGGTCCATCAGTCGCTGCCTTGAAGTAAATACTCTGCCATAGCTGGTAGCCGAGATTTAGTGGTCGAGGCTGTCTGATACATGCTCGTATACAACATTTGGACAACAATCAGAGCTGAGCCTTGGATTTTTTGAATACAGGCACATCACGTACACACAACTATGTATCTTAGTCCCATTCTATATATACATTGGAATAATTGGTTTTGCTCTTATTAGGAGTCTGAGACATCAGACCTAAACGTCCGCCTAATCATCTCTATGTGATGCATATCAATAGTAATCCTTGGCCGTTGTGATCGTTTTTCAAGATATTTGAATTTAAATCCGTGCCAAGGCTATTGACACTGCATATTTGCATAAAATGTACGAAACTAATGCCTCCTCGTGAAGGCATTAGAAGACATGTTAATACACTTTGCCAGCAGACTCGAAGACAACAAATATCCGATCGTAATCTAGGGCTTTTGGAAGCAATGCCAAAGGCATTCCCATCAGCATATCATGGATGGTGTTTACAACACCTAAAGAATAATTTTAGGGACAAGTTGAAGGGTATGGAGAATGGTTTCAAGGAATACTTAATAAGGAAGTTGGGTGATTGTGCATATGAACCAACTATGGCAGGTTTTCATGCATTACTAGAAGAGTTGAAGAGTGAGGGGAAGCAGCGAGCATATAACTTCTTGCCAGGGTTAGAACCAGAACATTGGGCAAATGCTTACTTTAGGTAAAGTGTGTACAATTGTGTGTTTCATGGAATATAATGATGGTTATATGTACATTGTTTATATTTTTGTGTTGTTATAACAATGTGAAATGTCACATATGGTATTAAATTGTGACAATTTTTGTTGTTATGTGTTAGGGGACAACGATATGGTGAGATGACATCCAATGCTGCTGAATCATTCAACAATTGGATTAAAGAAGCACGAAATCTTCCAATAACAAAATTGGTTGATACTATCCGGAATCAAATAATGTGTCAAATGTCAGAGCGAAGGGATATTGCAAACAAGTGGAATGGAATTATTTGCCCTATCCAAGATTCATTCAATTCTAGTAGGTCATGGAATGTGAGTAAAGCTAATGATGATGTGTTCGAGGTGCATTCGTTTCCATCAGTTACCGTTGATGTTGGACGCTGTGTTTGTTCTTACTACCAGTGGCAGGTAAATGGATTTCCTTGTGAACATGTTGTTGCGGCTATCCAAAGGAGTGCATATAATCTTAATGATTGTGTTGAAAAATATTTTCATGTAGAGAATTATAGGGAAGCATATGCAACGGCTATTTTTCCAATACCATCTGTGGAGAAACCAGATTTTTGCTCTAGTGATTTCATTAAATTACCTCCAATTGTAAAACGGCCAGCTGGTAGGCCGAGAAAGAGTAGAATACCATCTCGAGGGGAAAAAGTAAGTTAAATCAGGTGTGGCAGATGTGAAAAGATGGGTAGGCAAAATCAGAAGTCGTGTAAAGAACCAATACAGAGTTATATTGGTTGATGGGTTGGTGGACATTGTGAATTTCATATTCAGTTTTGAACATTTACAGTGTTTTTTTTTTTTTAGATAAATAAGATACCATTGTGAATGTTACATACATTTGCATTGGATACACACTTTATTAGTTGATACATTGGTGTACTTGTTTTGTATTTCAATACAATTTTTGAATAAGAAGGGATTCATTAATTCTATGCAATTTGTCATTTTGTAGTTTTTTTTTTGAATGTTCACATTGTGAATGTTCACATTTTGTAGTTTTTTTTTTTTTCATTTTGTATATTTATGAAATAGTTTGTTTATCAGTTTTATCAAAACAAAATATTATCTTGTTACATATATACACAATATGTGTTCATGGATGGAATATGTTTTTGAACAGATTTGAGGTGTGGTAGATGGAAAAAGATGGGCAGCCACAATTAAAGTTGTTAAAGATCAAATAATAGAGTTCATGTGAATATTATGTTGAGTTGTGAGTATTGATTCATGTGTTGGATATCGTTGAGAATATTATGTTGAGTTGTGAGTATTTATAGTGCAGAATTTGTTTTAGATAAATAACATAGTGTTGTGAATGTTACATACATTTGCATTAGTAAACAATTTAGTAGTTCATGTATGAGTGTACTTGTTGGTGCAAGCTTCTTAATGTGAATTTTCATATTTTGATACAATTTGTCAATAAAAAGTTGATTTGTTCTATGAAATTTGTAATTTTGTAGTTTCTTTACATTTTTTTTTTTTTGGAAATAGTTTGTTTTGATTTTTTGCAAAATAAAATGTAGAAAAGTTACGTATATCCCCAATATGTGTTGACAGGGTGAGCATATGATATACATATGTAAACTTTCACATTGTGTTGTGCTTAACAAACACATATAATGACTAATAATACTCATACACCATGAATAAGACCAAGAAAGAACATTGATATTAAAAGTACATTTCTTGGTAGACAAAATGTATATAGCTATTCATATCAACATCTTTGTGGAATGATTGTTTACTAACTAACAATACCCAAGTTCACATGTTAATGAGTGGTATATTATATACAAAACACATTGTACTTGGACAAAAGCTGATGTTAACATTGTTTCATCAATACATCAAAAGAAAATGGTAGGGTGTGAAAATATGAAGTCTAGTTTTGAGATGCATCCTCGTTGGTGTCAACAACAAAACTTGGATGATTTGTCCTTTCAGGATCATTCAGGAATGCTTCAACTAACAGAGCTCTCATAGCAAGCCAAGCTTCCTTGTCCAGCACAGGTTCAATTGGTTCATGAAGGGCATGTTGCCTCATTATGTAGCAAAGTACAACTCCGCAATTAAGACTGCAAGAGAAAGAAAAAAAAAGAAGAAGAAAGAATCAATATTTTGTTATATTCACATTGGTTGTAGTTACTATGTCAATGAGAATATTAATTGTAAATACTCACAAATTTGGGTCTTGTTGAGGGCATGCATCAACTGATTGCAATGGCTTGACATAATCTGAGGGTGTTAATGTATCTGCCATATCCGATGTGGAGAGCAATTTCTGAATATGTGATTGTGAATATGATTAGATGTGTAGAATAGATAATATTTTAACTACGTTGATATGTAACTCAACATGTACATTTTTTCATATTATTGAATGAAATATTGAAATTACCACTATGTTTGCTTGAGCTAGGTGTATGTCTTCAAAACCGTCTCTTGGCCTTATTGAATTGTAGTGCTTCCACACTCCATTATCCATGTCGCTCACTACTATGGTCCCATGATACTTAAAGTGGAGTGGAAAGTGCAGATATCGGTACTGATTTGCTTGCTTGATGTGAGGATCAATGAATTTGGTTTGTAGTTCTGCTTTTTCATCTTTAATCATGCTCTGTAAACATTGACAGCACTTTGTTAGTAATTAGTTTTATAAATAAGAGATCAAACTTGTTTTTAATTCAGGAAAAAAAAAAAAAAAAAACAAATTATACCAAACACAAGCTGTTGAAAAAGAATGATTTGTCAAATTGTTGTGAATCTGTCATCATTGATTCTGCTTTCTTCTTAAAATTTCTGCATATGCATCTATGACCTGTACATATTCAATGTTAATGTGATTATGATGTGAGTGTTAATATATATAACCTTTAATGCACAATGTACAAAGCACCATACATTGTTTGTTATGGACTTGTCTTGAATTATTGACTCAAGATCGTCATAGAAAACATAAGTCTCCTTGGTGGTTCCTCGCCAAACAGTTAACCTACATTTAGAGTTCAGATATAATAAGACAAGGATGGTATGTAAAGTCATAGAAGTTGTTTGAAATATGCTTACCCGTAACCTCCATTTTTATGCATATTCCTTATCTTTTGCTTGTCCTGTTCAGATATGATCTTCCAAACCTCATATTTGTTGGACAGCCTAAGCTTATTATGCTTAGGACGCTTGAAGTCTCGAAGCTTGTGCAAATAGCCTTCAAAATCTGGATCTACAATTTCACATTGCTTCTCAATGTCATTTTGTTCCAAATTTTCCAACTTCCTTTTCAGTTTGTCACACTTTTTGTCTTGATATTCAAAATCAGGCAACTTCAATTCTTTCCTTTTTTTTTGATTTTGATGCGCTTCACGAAAGATGTAGGAGTTTTTTGGGTCTTCTTCTTCAAATTTTGCTTCAGTTCCACATCCAAAGTCTCCTGGTTTATTTGTTGTGTGACAGCATGTACTACATCATCATCAATTTTATCTTCTAGCATAGTTTTCTCAAGTTGGAGTATAGTCTTCTCAATTTGGAGGTCAATTATGGAGTTGCTTTGCCTTTCTATCTCTACATTCTTATTATCAATTGTATTTTTGACAGTGGACAACTCATTCTAAACTATTGGATTCTCCTTCTGGTTACATATTAATGTTTCCAGCTCCAAGATGATTTTGTCTTTCATGTCATTTGCTGCCTGCAGATTCTGGTTCTCAATTTGTAGTTTCTCGATGAGATCTAATGCTTTTTGATGGTCAGCGACCATTTTCCCTATAATGTTGTCCTGAGCAACCTTTGACACAATGACTTGATGCACCCCATGTGCATGTAGATATGCAAGAGTCTCTGCACCTTCCTCAATATTGGCTTCATCATGTTCATTGCTCTGAAATTCTGCTTCATTGCCAAACTCTGTATCAAATGCCTCATCAATGTCATCCTCTTGTATGCTCATGTCCATTTCTTCCTTAATTTTGACTTCATGATGAATAATACTCTCAGGTGCATCTTTTTGATTCTCCTCATCCCGAATTATTGTTTACGCCAACAGTGTGCTCTCATGGTCTGTCAGTATGAGTTTCTCTATATAAACCTGGTAATAGAGATTACTGTTAGTTTTAGCACAATAAATAATATTATTCACATTGGATAATGTTGGTATCTAACCTCATCATCATTGATTGACGAGAAAGACAAATTCTTCATGTTCTTGTGAAGTTTTGTTAGATTCCATTTGAGAAAATGAGGTATTGCATTTTGCAAAATTGGTTCCACTATTTTGGTACGCTCACACAGCCAATACTACATAAAATGTAACAAATTGTCAACTATATGATCGAACATTTTCAATGTAAGATGAAAATTAGACTACAAACATTCACAATGGGAAGACTTATACTTCAACTATGAATGTCAAAACAAAACCTTGACAATGTGAGTCAAGATAATCAATGTAATATGGAAAACAAACTCAAAACATTCACAATTTGAAGATTCATACTTCAAACACAAATGTTAGCAATATGACAATTCACTCAATGTAATCAATGAAATGTCAAAACAAATTTCAAATACTAACAACGGTGTTTTGAGTCTATTGGAATATCAACAATATGGCTCAACATAATCAATGTGACAAAGAAACTAGACTCCAATCATTTACAATGTGAAGATTCACACTTGGAACACAAATGTCAACAATAGAATATCAATAATGAGATTCAACATAATCAATGTAACATGGATAACAAATTCTAAACATTCACAATGAGAAGATTCATACTTCAAACACAAATGTCAACAATGGAATCTTGACAATATGACCATTCACCCAACATAATCAATGTGATGTGAATATTGAAATATGAAGTATATATGATTGAACATTTTCAATGTAAGATGAAAATTAAACTCCAAACATTCACAATGGGAAGACTTATACTTCAAACATGAATGTCAAAACAAAATCTTGACAATGTGACTCAACATAATCAGTTAATATGCATGTCAAAAAAAAATTATGATTATAAACTAATGTGAATGTATCGTTTTAGACGTACACATTAATAGTTATGTGAGTGAATGTAGTATTACATACCATTAAAGCCATAACACAGCCAGTCACTCGTTTTGAACGTTGATGATGAAGTTCAATGGAATTCATTAATGTGGACTTGATGGTTTCTGCCCAATCATATTCCCTCATCTTGTCCAAATGTTCCATGTGTTGATAGTATGCCCATCCAATTGTCTCTCTAGTTGTGGAATAAAAGAGCTTTAAACAAGCATACAAACTTATCAACCTAGTAGCCTCCTCATTATCTGATTTCTTTCTCCCAACCAATGCATCATCGATCAAAGATCGGATATTTTTCGATGTAAGCTTTTGTGTGTCCTTGCACTTCTTGCCGATAAGTCCAAATGTTGGCTTCGAACCATATGCAGTTTCCATTAGCACAGATCCGCAGTCTATTCCAAAAATTATTTGATGTCATGTGCAGACAATTTGACAGATTTGGGGCCAATTCTGAAACAATTTGATGCAGGGTTGTATGTCTCTATGATCTTTGCTATCACATCGTCATATTTCATGCATGATGATAGTTCAATTTTTGTGTTTATCAGTGCATCAAACATCATCCAAAATAGAGTTTTCTACAAACATTTCAGCTGCCCATCAGTGAACTTCGTTGTTGACATCAACTTTACCAAGCCAGTCATGTTTGAACGGTAGTTCACTTTGTTCATATCAACATTGGGTTTCACATCAGCTGGAGCTGTCTCTTCCTCATGGGTTTCTTTTTTTTTTTCTTTTTTTTTTTGTCTTTGGTGTTGTTATAACATCTATCAACAAAATGTTAAACAAAAATAGAGACAAGACATTAAGAGGAATGAGCAATTAACAGTGCTATTAAAATGAATATTGATGAGAACCAAATTTCATAGCATCACTCATAGATAATATGTAAAGAATTAGAGAATATGACAGCATCTAAGAATGTGAACATTCATACTTGAAACACAAAATGTCAACCATGGAATATCGATAATGTGACTCGACATAATCAATGTAACATGCATAACAAACTCCAAACATTCACAATGAGAAGATTCATGCTTCAAACACGAATGTCAATAATGGAATCTTGACAATGCGACCATTCACTCAACTTAATCAATCTGACGTGAAAATTAGACTCAAAATACTAACAATGAGAAAATTCCTACTTAAAAACAATTAGCACATTATTGTGAATGAAAAATGTGAATGTTGGAATATCAACTATATAATTGAACATTTTCAATGTAACGTAAAAATTAGACTCCAAACATTCATAATGTGAACATTCATACTTGAAACACAAAATGTCAACCATGGAATATCGATAATGTGACTCGACATAATCAATGTAAAATGGATAACAAACTCTAAACATTCACAATGAGAAGATTCTTGCTTCAAACACGAATGTCCATAATGGAATCTTAACAATGTGACCATTCACTCAACATAATCAATGTGACGTGAAAATTAGACTCAAAATATTAACAATGAGAAAATTCTTACTCAAAAACAATTAGCATATTATTGTAAATGAAAAATGTGAATATTGGAATATCAACTATATAATTGAACATTTTCAATGTAACCTGAAAATTAGACTCTAAACATTCACAATGGGAAGACTTATACTTCAATCATGAATGTCAAATGAAAACCTTGACATTGTGAGTCAACATAATCAATGTAACATGGATAAGAAACTCCAAATATTCACAATGAGAAGATTTATATTTCAAACACAAATGTTAGCAATGTGACAATTCACTCAATATAATCAATAAATGTTAAAATAAATTCCAAATACTAACAATGGTGTTTTAAGTCTATTGTAATCTCAACAATATGACTCAGCATAATTGTTCTAGCAATGGAAATAGACTCCAATCATTTACAATGTCAACATTCATATTTGAAACACAAAATGTTAACAATGGAAAACAAAATTTCAAACATTCACAATGAGAAACAGAGCACTCATAAACATTCCTAAATGTTGAGTCCCTAAACACTAAAGCTGAAAAACAAAGCATTCATAAATGTGACATGAAAAACAAAGCATTCATAAAGAAGAAAATTATAATTTGTAATTTTCAAAGGCTAAATGTCAAATCAATAAACATTAAACATTAAACATTGAAATGTGAATATTCATATTTTAATGAAAGAATATGAACTAGTGGATTTAATGTTAGAAAATAGTATGAAATTGAAGAAAACAACTTACTTTTGTTCACCATTGCAGATATCGATTAGAGTGAGGATCGTTGTTGCCGGAATGAACAGTTATCAGCGATCTTGGTTGCCGGAATGGATTGTTCTTGGCAATCAATGTTGCCGGAATGAACAGTGCTTCGTGATTTTTGTTGCTGGAATGAATAGGACTCGTCGATCGTAAGGTTTTGGTCGAAGAAGAAGGAGTTCAACATTAGGGTTCTAATTTGGGGTAAAACAAAATTGTTGAGTTGAAAGAAAAAATGAGCCTATGATCTGATATGAACATAAGGGTAATATCGTCTTTTTACCTAGGACAGGACTAAATGGAATATTAAAATAAATTTTGGACTAATTAGAACATAAGTAATTAAAGATGGATTTATGAAAAAAACTCCCAAAAAAATTTAATTTTTTGTAAAAAAAGAAAGAAATTAATTTGATAAAAATAAATATCAAAAAAATATTTTTAAAATTTTAAAAATGATTTCTGGTTTCTCAAAAAAATAAAATTATATAATAATGATAATTATTTTTATTTCTTTTATTAAATTAATTTTTAATTTTTTTTTTTTAAAAAAAAAAAAATTGAAAACTATCCATCTCTTGTTTGTGTTTTAGACACCTTCCCAAGAAAGATACTGATGTAGAACTTTCTTTCAAGCTAGGGTTCACTTCTCCTCTCTCATGTTCACCTCTATAGCCGAATCATCTGTTTTCGTTTCTCTCTGTTTCTTGAACCGAAATCATGAAATTGGTTTGTAAGGAACTCTCGGAAGATTGCTGGGAATTGATTCTGAATCGATTAGCAATCGATGACTTCAACTCCTTGCAATCCCCTTCTCTGGTCTGTAAGCAATTCCTCTCAATCACCGATCGACTTCGACAAAAATTGGACGCCTCCAACAGATCCTTCTACAGCAATAACTGCGAGGGTTTATTCAGAGCCCTTCAACGATTCAAAAACCTGCGCGAGATTGAGCTTTGTGATCCCATCTTCGGTGACAAAGCCGATGTCAATTACCCCATTCGAAGAATCGCTTCTTCCGGGTTGGATCTTCAATTTCTCTCTCTCCGCCGATTACAAAAACCCCCATTCCCCAAAACTTTTAAGAAACTGGGTTCGACCATGAACAACTTGAAGATTCTAAGATGTTGTTACCTTAAAGTTTTTCGAAATCACCACCTTGTTGCTATAGCTGATGCTTTACCGTGGCTTGAAGAGCTCGATATTCAGCTTTCCGGCTTCCGTTCTTATTATCAACGAGGTTTCGATTCTAAGAGCGCTAAGTACATTGTAACCGATGTTGGGATAGAGGTAATCTCGCGTAAGCTTCGAAGGTTGCGTAAAATTGATATAACAGGGCAGTTTGGTTGTTCTGATCGATCTCTCATTGCTTTGTCATCGAATTGTGAGCTTTTGAATGAAATCCGATGTTCTTATTGCCATGTATCTGAACATGGCATTTGTTTTGTTCTGCGCCATAGTCAAAACTTGATTTCTCTCGAAGCAGGACGCTATTACTCTTTACCGGATGATTCATTTACTTTTGAGAATTCCATGAATTTTGCACAATCTTTACGCGATCTTCGCATAGATGCATTCAAAGATCATGATCGCCTTCTTGGTTCCATTTCAACAGCGGGCATTCCATTAGAGAAGATTTTAATCTACGATGATTCTGGTTTGAGCTTCCATGGACTCTCGAATTTCTTGTGTGCTTGTCCATCTTTGAAACACTTGCAACTTGTTTCCATAAAATTCCTCAATGACAATTCCGTGAGGGAATTATGCCGGTATCTTCCTAATCTTGTGTCCATAAAGCTTGATTTTTGTTCAAACATAACTGCCGCAACCTTCTTCATCCTTGCAAAAAAATGCCCTCTTCTTTCGGAAATTGAACTACAGGAGATAAAGCTACCAGTTGGAGATGATTTTGACATGGAATTAGAGAGGAATTACCGAATAATATCTTTGGAATTGAGTCATATTGGGCATCTGAATGATGAATTTTTGAGAAAAATAGGGTTTGTTTGTCCCAACTTACAGAGTCTCAATGTTACAGGGCTTAACAGATTGACGAAAGAGGGGATTGGGGACATTTTGAAGTGCTGCTCACAGATTAAGCATTTGATAGTGGACAAAACAAGAGAATTGGGCATCTTCTTGGAGCAATTCAAAACTCGGCACATTGAAATTGAACACCATTTCATCCGATCAGTCTAGAACTCGAACTATGGGAAGAAAAGTACAAGAAGTAATTGTGTGCAGCTGAATCCATATAGGTTGGATTACTTGTTCAATTGTAACTAAAGAATGCAGTTTTCGCAATGTTCATAAGCCTTTTGATTTTCTTCTACAGGAAATGCTGAATTGAAAAATGTCTCAAGGGTACCAAAGATGAATTTTTATGTGCGTGGTTTCTCTTATTATTATTGAATTTTAACATATGAGATAATGCTATTGATAGAGCCCAAAAAGACTCTACCCAAATAATAATAATAATAATAATAACAATTATGGATTGTTTTAGAAAATTAGTTAAAAGTTAATTTTTTAATTTTTTTTAAATATATAAAAAAATAGAAGGGTCATGTGATCTAAAATAAATTAAAAGTCAAAATTTGATTTTTAACTAAACTTCCAAATTCTAGACAGGGGCTCGAAGATTTTTCTTTTGTTGATTTTCACAAGCTTTGGAATTTGAATTTAATAATATTCTTTGATAAAACTCAATGGAGAAGAGGAGTGCTCTCTCTCTCTCGCTCTCTCTCTCTCTCGTTTCTACAACTAACAAGGGTGTTAACATATTCATTAGAGAACCCCATAAAAAGAAAATAAAGTTACATTCCTAACTCTTATTTCATTGTACATTAATGGACTCTGTGGTGACATATTTTTAGGTAGTTTACATGGCCGAGGTTGTTAGCTGAGGTGCCACGTGGGTGGACCATGGTGCTGAGATATGGTGAGATAATATCGGAATTTGAGATGTTTGGATAGAAGACTAGAGTCCTAGATAACATTAAGCTACCTATTTGGATAGAGATGAGACTCTTGAGGGAGTTTATCTTAATCTGAATAGTGTGAGTTGTGATAAATGTTATCCTTGTAAAGGATAGAGTCCCATGAAGTAAGACTTCTAGAGGAAATTTGACACTGTTCATTATAAAAGTAAGGCACCCTCGTGGGTCTAAAGCATGCTTTATTTGAGATGTTTTTATGCTTTCATTGTTGAAGTTTAAGTACTTGTATTGATATCTGTGAGAAATAAGATTACTGACTTGATCGTTGGAGTGCCTCCGGGTGGACGAACCACCGCGGTATTCTTATCTTCTTGTTGGCAGGTGTTTGGCTTAATCTATTCTGCCGGTGCTCTCTAGTTGAGTAACCCGTTTGGTTGTATGGTCGGATATCAATACCCACAATTTGGCACCGTCTATGGGAACTTAGTTAGAATAGATTGCCATCATCGTGCAAGACCAACATGTCGGCAACGACTAGTTTAGCGAAGATGGAGAATGTGTCGACATTAACAGAATGAAGACCCTTCCAGAAGGGATGCAAAAACAAGGGGCATAAGTGCTCCCAAGGAGATGACTTTCAAGTATAGAAGGATCAATTTAAGTGAGCAGATCCCGGATTTCAAATTCCGAATCCCAGATTCAGAAGACAAGATCTCTACCTAGATGATTAGGTACGAGAAGACAAGAGCTCAGCCTAAGTGAGCAGATCCCGGATTCCAGATCTCGAATCCCAGATTTTAGAAGACAAGATCTCGGCCAAGATGATTAGGTCCGAGAAGACAAGAGCTCATCCTAAGTGAGCAGATCCTAGATTTCAGATCCCGAATCCCAAATTCAGAAGACAAGATCTCGACCTAGATGATTAGGTCTGAGAAAACAAGAGCTCAACTTAAGTGAGTAGATCCCCGATTCTAGATCCCAGATCACAGAAGATAAGATCTCGATGCCTAGATGATAGGGTCCAAGAAGACAAGAGCTTAGCCTAAGTGAGCAGATCCCGAATTCCAGATCTCGGATCCCAGATCCTAGTAGACAAGATCTCGGCCTAGATGAGTAGGTCCGAGAAGACAAGAGCTCAGCCTAAGTGAGCAAATCTCGGATTCCAGATTCCGGATCCCAAATCCCAGAAGACAAGATCTCAGCCGAGATGAGTAGGTCCGAAAAGACAAGAGCTCAGCCTAAGTGAGCAAATCCTGGATTCCAGATCCTGGATCCCAGATTCAAAAGATAAGATCTCGGCCTAGATGAGTAGGTCCAAGAAGAAAAAAGCTCAGCCTAAGTGAGCAGATTTTAGATTCTAGATCCTGGATCCCAGATCCTAGAAGACAAGATCTCGGCCCAGATAATTAAGTCCAAGAAGACAAGAGCTCAGGCAAAGTGAGCAGATCCCGAATTCCAGATCCCGAATCCCAGATTCAGAAGACAAGATCTCGACCTAGATGATTAGGTCCAAGAAGACAAGAGCTCAGCCTAAGTCAGCAGATCCTAGAAGACAAGATCTCGGCCTAGATGATTAGGTCCGAGAAGACAAGAGCTTAGCCTAAGTGAGCAGATCTCAGATTGCAGATCCCGAATCCCAGATTCAGAAGACAAGATCTCGGAGTAGATGATTAGGTTTGAGACAAGAGCTTAGCCTAAGTGAGCAGATCCCGGATTCCAAATCCCGAATCCTAAATTCAGAAGACAAGATTTCAACCTAGATGATTAGGTCCGAGAAAACAAGAGCTCAGTCTAAGTGAGCAGATCCCGGATCCCAGAAGACAAGATCTCGGCCTAGATGATTAGATCCCAGAAGACAAGAGCTCAACCTAAGTGAGCAGATCCCGGATTCCAGATCTTGGATCCCGGATCCTAGAAGACAAGATCTTGGCCTAGATAAGTAAGTCTGAGAAGACAAGAGCTCAGCCTAAGTGAGCAGATCCCGGATTCCAGATTTCGGATCCCAAATCCCAAAAGACAAGATCTCAGCCTAGATGAGTAGGTTCGAAAAGACAAGAACTCAGCCTAAGTGAGCAAATTCCAAATCCCAGATCATAGAAGACAAGATCTCGGCCTAGATGATTCGGTCCGAGAAGACAAGAGCTCAGCCTAAGTGAGCAGATCTCGGATTTTAGATTCCGGATCCCAGATTCAGAAGACAAGATCTCAGCCTAGATAATTAGGTCCAAGAAGACAAGAGCTCAGCCTAAGTGAGCAGATCCTGGATTGCAAATCCCGAATCCCAAATTCAAAAGACAAGATCTCGGCCTAGATGATTAGGTTCGAGAAGACAAGAGCTCAACCTAAGTGAATAGATCTCGGATTCCAGATCCCAGATCCCAAATTCAGAAGATAAGATCTCGGCCTAGATTATTAGGTCCGAGAAGACAAGAGCTCAACCTAAGTGAGCGAATCTCAAATTCCAGATCTCGAATCCTAGATCCCAGAAGACAGGATCTCGGCCTAAATGAGTAGGTCCGAAAAGACAAGAGCTCAGCCTAAATGAGCAGATCCCAGATCCCAAAAGACAAAAAAGAAGCACACAAGATCAGACTGAAGTCGGCTAGGTTCTACCTGTCGGTAGAAGGCTATCTATACAGAAGGACTTTTACTGGACCTCTATTGCGATGTGTATATCCTTCTTAGGTTGAAGACTTTTTATACGAGATCCATGCAGGGGGCAGATCCCTTGCCCACAGAGCTATATCATAGGGATTCTGGTGACCCTACATGCGAAAGGATGCCGAAGCCTATGTAAAAAAGTGTGAAAATATTGTAGGAATCCATGATTGTGCGATAAGACCGAAATGTCTTATGGCGATGTTCCCATGGTGAACATGATGAGTAACTTAGGCTTATCATATAGTAGAATTGAATTATACTTGTATATGATAAAGTTGAACTAAGTTGGCGATATTTCTGAATGAAACATGAGGAGTAATTTAAACTTATTATATAACAGAGTTGAATTATACTTGCATATGATAGAGTTGAACTAAGTTGGCCATGTTTTTTAATGAAACATGACGAATAACTTAGACTTATTATATGCCAGAGTTGAATTATATTTTCATATAATAGAGTTGAACTAAGTTGACGATGTTTCTGAATGAAATATGATGAATAACTTTGACTTATTGTATGGCCGAGTTGAATTATACTTGCATATAATAGAGTTGAACTAAGTTGACGATGTTTCTGAATGAAACATGACGAATAACTTAGACTTATTATATGACAGAGTTGAATTATACTTGAATATAATAGAGTTGAACTAAGGTGGCGATATTTCTGAATGAAACATGACGAATAACTTAGACTTATTATATGGCAGAGTTAAATTATACTTACATATAATAGAGTTAAACTAAGTTAGCGATATTTCTGAATGAAATATGACGAATAACTTAGACTTATTATATGGCAAAGTTGAATTATACTTGCATATAATAGAGTTGAACTAAGTTGGCGATGTTTCTGAATGAAACATGACGAATAACTTAGACTCATTATATAACAGAGTTAAATTATACTTGCATATAATGGAGTTGAACTAAGTTGAATTAACCTGGATTTGCCATATTAGCAGAGTCAAACTCAAAATGGAACTAAGTTCATTAACAGAGAAACTGAGGTTGAAACACCTCGGGAAGCCTTTGTTTGAATCTGACTTCGACAAAAGACCATAGTCACATGCTTAATGTGAACTTAAGTGGAACTTAGGTTCACATTAGGGGGCATGGAGCTGGAGTGATGAACAAACTTAAGAGTTTGACACTTGTTGAAATTTTCCGAAATGGGCTTAACACTTGTCGAAATTTTGGAGAAATTTACAAGTTGGAGTTAGCCGATGTAATGATGAATAAAGTATCCGAGGTACATGTTACTCGGGGTGACCAACTAGGTTGTCAAAACTTGGAAAGGGTGAAGTCTTAATAGAAGATAGCGTATGGAGGTAAAAAAACAATAACACTTGTAAAAATATTTTTATTTTTAAAGTGTTAGCCGAGGTTTGAAAATGGTTAGCCGAAGCAAACAGTCATGGTTTATCCGAGGTATTGTATCCCGGAGTTATTATTCAATTAAGGTACATTTTGAAGAAATGCAAAAATATTCTAAGTTTGGAAGCATGAAAAGCATGAAAGAAAGTAGCAAATATGCATAGAAAAAAAGAAGGCATACATTCAACACTTGGAAGAAAATATAAGACTTGCATTCAGA